CTTTTGCCAGTCAAAGAAGTCGGCTAGGAGTCAGACAGACGACTGTCAATCCACTTGACCGATCAAACAGTCCTGGCAGGCGCGTGGCCGGCCGGCAACATTTGGGTCGCTCTAACAGGGTCGTTTCCGCGAGTGACTAAAAAACGCGAAACAGAAAAACTCTAGTCAATCGGACCAATCAAAATTCAGCTTGAATGTGCCCTCGTTTTGTTTTACATGTCTTCATAAACTGCGCCACAGTGTTTTCATCATGGTTACTACAGGATTCAACTTCTACTACCCTTTAAGTATTGTTGACTAATACCTTTATTAAGTCTACTTTCAGTTGGTTTATTGATTGCAGGTGGTGGCTTGTCTCCAGTCCTGGATGGCCATTCAATTTCATGGTGATGCCAAAGTATATCAAAATGTTGAATCAGCTTCCTTCTAAAGCTCTTCAAAGAGAGGGTGCACATGGGAATAGCTGCTGGAATAGCTGCTGGAATAGCTGCTGGTTTGTCATCAATAGCCATGAAATCCGTGGCATCTCCATCCTCGTCATCATCATTATCGTCATCATTATCCTCAGCACTGTGATCGCTGTCATCACTACTCTCTTCGTTTGCACAGGTCATCCTCTTCCAATTAAAAGTTGTGGAGGGCGCAGCAAGTCAGCCATATTGGTGTGGGACCGTGTGTGATGTGTGGTACTGACGCTGCTCTTTCATGATTCCTTTCTTGGGGGTTTGTCTGGAAGATCCAACTCCTCCTTGGCGATGGTATTGTAAATACGATAATGGATCGTTATCTCCTGTAGTTGGGTCGATAACGCCAATCAGCCTTGTTGGAGGGCCATAGGGTTGGGCATTGCCCATGGCGCGCTCGATCGGAGTTATTGTGTGTGTTTGATTGTTGTGATGATCGATTGATTCATTGGACCTCAAATCCTGTTTGGTTGGACCTCAAAAATCCAACATTCCAGGAGCTCTGGAATGCATGCTGGATTTTCATTTTCCCAACATTCGCGAAACAGAAGTAGTCTGTAGAGCTGGTAGGATTTCTACGTTGGCACATATTCTACCTACGGTATTTCCTGTTTCGCGTTCGCGAATGTTGACCGTGTGGATTGGCCTGACCCCGTCCAAAATTCTACGAATCTATCCTTCACAGAATGTGTCCACAATGAGCACATATATTGAATATATCTGCCAGTTAAAATGAGCACGCACATGGCGCAGTGAGAGCACATCTGCCAGTTTGGTAACAAACAAATAATTT